AAATTATAAAATTTTAAGATAAAACCACGTGTAAAATATTTTTTAGTGGATGAAGGAGATTAAATAATGTCATATTCGTGATTCTGGGTTCCATGACAGATCATCTATCATTTTGGCAAAAAATGAGAGATAAAGATGAGATTTTATTGTGTAATTATCTTTTTGAAGTAAAAAGAGACTGTTTGAGCTAAAATATAGGAGAAGATTGTAGTTGAAGAAGGGTTTTATCTGATAAGGGTACAGATGGCAAAAATCTGCAAGGAGATCAGACCAAGTCAATTGGTGAACTGTTCCATTATCTCAAGAAACCACTCATGATTGTGTAACTGCAAAAAGTGAAGGTTATTGTCGGCACAAGGAGAACAAAAAGGAAATTTTGGAAGGGAAAACATACTCTCAGTCCTACTCAAACATCTGCAAAATTTTCAGACTTTTATTTTCTCTGCAAATGCTTCCAGATTTCAGATTTCAGCACAGATTCTAGTAGATTTAGGTTGTTTTTCATCATTTCAGTAGGCAAATTCATTCATGTATTCAGTTCAACAATTTCCTTTCATGCAATGAACTTCAATCTTTCAAGTTTATGCAAGGTATTATTCTTTTTCTATTTGCAATTAATTTAATATTTATGATAAGTAGCATTTTATTCAATGATTACTTATGTGGTGTTCACACTTCTTTTCAACTTCAAGCATGTTAGTTTAATCACTATTCACATTAATTTTAATGTTAATTAGGGTAAAATCTTTAATTTTGCAGCATTTTAATTTCTATATTTACGAGTATATATCATTTTAATTTAACAATAAACATGTTTAATTTAATTTGGGTACATTTTATTCTCGCAAATTTATTTTAAATTGCAAGTTATTTAGTTCAATTAAGATTTGTTAATTTTAAGTCACGGTAATGTTTAAGTCCTTAGAGTTATCCAGGGCAGATTTCGTAACCCATTATGCAGAAAGATATTCCTCCCTCTTGCAAATCATTTGTAGGCGCAGATTTCAATTTTAATCTAATGTTCTTTTCACTATCTGCAAAGAGATCGACTGTAAGGAAGGAGAGGATCGTTGAGAAAGTTCTCTTTTTTACTTTTAACAAAGTAAGTGACACATCCGTATCCAAATTTCACATTTGTGAGGCCATTGTGAATTTTTGGGAAAACAAATTCACACACTTAGTGTTGAATTAAGCAAAACTATTATTCTCATTTTTCAATATGATATACCGAACACCTCTTAAACTTATTTCAAATTGAAAAAACAAAATAAATTATCTGCTGCTAAGCATCTCCCTCCAAAATACCCCAAAAATAAAAAAGAGCTACCATTTTGTAGTGCAAATTTTAAAATAGAAATATATAATTTTTAATATAAGGAGTGCGTCTGAACTTCCCATGTAATCCAGTAAATGGGTCACATTACCCTCAAGTTGTAAGTAAACTGTACTTTCAATTTTCATTTTGAATAGATACTAACTAATTAATTCAGTATATTTCTTGTGAAAAACAAAATAATAATAATAATAATATAAGTAACGCGTCTCAATATAATAATTTATGTTTTGTAATTTAACAGCATATTATTTTTTTAATAAAAATAAAATAAAACGGCCGCCGTTGTTCACAGGTGCTTTATAAAGAACTCGAATTGAAGTAGCGCGCCCCCGCGGAAAAAACTTACAGCTCTCTCCGTTACCAGCGAAGCAGGAGGCGACGTTGGAAAAAAATTTAGGGTTTAACAAGCAACGACCAAAGCAATTCGCAGCTTAGATTTGCTCTCATTTTCGATTTCACCACATCGGTACTTTCCCTTTCTGTCTCACCGTTGAAACCTTTTAATTTCTCCTGTTATACCTCATTTTCTGTTGCAGAGATTGCATTGAAATTGAATTGAATTTCTTGAACTTTTTTTGTTTTTGATTTAGAAGAAAATTTATATTTTCTTTTAATTGGATTAGTTTTCTATGAATGAATGGATGGTTTTATTTGCTAAAACGCCTCAACTGGAAGTGCCTGTTAATACAGTGTTAAAACCCTTAAAGAAAACTGATGAATACAAGAAAATAGAAGTTCCAGAATCCTAGTTAGTTGTACAAGGGTCTTTTTAGTTTGATTCTGGCCTGGGTTTGGGTGCAGCTATGGGTTGGCTGTATAGCAGGACTCAGGAGGGTTATTTTAAATGTAAATTTCTCTCTCTCTCTCTCTCTCTCTCTTTTAATTCAGTGTTCAGGAGTAATGCCAAATTAAACTACAGCATATCTATTATTCCGTAGCTGGACAGTTACCCTTTAAATAAAAAATTTGACTTTTTCAAGCTTAGAAAGACTTAAGAGAAACAATGTTTTTTTTCCCCCTTGTCTTCATGTTTGATGGTAAGACAAGCTGACAGTTTAGTTCTCTTGAGAGCTTCCAAATCCATGGGGATGGCGGATGGGGGTGCCTCTAGTTGTTGGAGATATAGCTTATAGGCGTGCCTTACAGAAAATTACTGCAATTTGCTATTGCTATCTTTTTTATTTAGATTTGTCTGATGATTATATTGCAAAGGAAAGGATACATATTGTTGCAGCTTTATGTAGCTGTTTCTGTTGATTCTCTTACTAATATTCGTTTATGATTTCCACATTTAGTTTGATTTCTTGTTTCTATTCTCCCCCCCCCCCCCCTTTTTTTTCTCTTACATATTCTCCCACCTTTATGTTGCTTTTTATTAGTTTTATAGTAGCTTTGGCATAGAAATGGTCATTTAATTTTTATATTCAGATGATTTGTTTTGGAGTTGAAGATAGTTTTGAGCATCCTTCGATGATAATTTTCAGTAGTTGCTTTCAAATCAAAAGGATAAATTTCTTGTGTATGGAAATGGTTCTAATGTAGAAGTGTAAAATTTTCATTTTTCAATGGCGTCAATCTATTCCTGGTTCTAAAATCTGAAAAATGTTTTTCTCTTTATGCTTGCATTTTGCAGGATATGGACACTTCAGACCCTGCTGCTTTTGTGAATGGAGGGCTGCTGCACATGCATGTGGGACAGAAGGTGCGGGCAGTGATTCAGGTTATACGCTCTGATGTGGGATCTGTGGTTGGAAAGTCCACGGATGACATCCAAATTATTGTAAAAGGCTCGCCACCCATTCCGCGTACCAATTATATCGAGGTTATTGGTGTTGCTGTAAACGACAATTCCATCCGAGCTGAAATATGGACCAACTTTGGGGACACATTTGGTATGGTCTGCTGGTTCTTTTAAGTAAATTTTCTTAATTTGATTGAGCCTTGCAAATGCTCATTTTTATGAAAGGAAATAGTTTCTAGTTCATCTTTCTGTCATTCAGTTTTTATTAGGGGAAATAGTTTCTAGTTCATTGTTCTGTGATTCAGTTTTTATGTTACCACAAGCTCTGTGCTGCTTTAATTCTCTATTCTTTGGTTGTTATGAACTCTCTTTGGCCTTTAGTAACCCCTTTCTGCCAAATGATGGCAGACGCATACAACTATGATCAGCTTTGTCAGCTCGCAAATGGGTGGTTCAAACACTTGTTCCTCTGAGGTGCTATGGATTATCTTTCTTCTCAGGAAAAATGAAGTTCAATGGTGTTCCATCCTATGCTCTGTAAATAAGCAAGATATCTGGTGGATTGATTTGATCTTAGTGTTTTTGATTCTATCTGTGGAAATTTCTTCAAGTTGTTTTGGTCTCCACCATAGCTGTAGTTTTAGCAATCAAATTCCTTACTAGGAGAATGCCCTTTATATCCTTTCATGGTCGAAGCTCTGGCTTGCATTCATCCTAATGCCATCTCCATTTCTGACAGTGGCACTGGAAGTGCATTTCTTAATGCCTTGATGTTCTCATTTGTTAAAAGCACAAATCCAGTTACCATGCATTTGTCAAAACCTGGCAATAATCAGATTTAGAGTTTGCATCCTTGTATTTTTATGATGCAAGTAAAAATATTTTCAATACGGGAAATCTTACTGATACCCAATCAGAACTTGTAAAGTCACAGAAAGTCATTTTCAATATTCCTTAAACAAATAATAGAACATAAATATTGAAGACAATTTCTTTTATGATTAATATAAGAAATTAATGCTTATTAGTCAAATTTATAAAAAAAAAATTAGATAAAAAGAAATGTTAAAATTAAAGTATTTTAATTAAATATTATCCAGGAGGTTTGGTCATCTGTCACAGTTTTAGGATGCTACGTGTTTTAGCTTTGTAAAAAGTTGAAGGCTCTTAAGGCCCCTCAACGACAGCTTAATAAAGATTGTTACAATGACCTGCAAGGAAGGATTCAACAAGAGACTTCAAAGCTACATGCTATCCAAATTGATTTGTTAGCTAATCCTCATGAAGATTTGGTTTTGGTGGAACGGGAACAGGCTAGGAGGGTGGTAGAGTTATCACTTGCTAAAGAAGCCTTTCTGAAACAAAAATCTAGAGTGCACTGCCTATAGGAAGGAGACCAAAATACTACTTACTTTCATAAAGTAATGAAAGTTCGACAAAGTAAGAACCTGATAAAAGAATTGCATACTAAAGATGATAAAATACTCACTGAGCATGAGGATATTGCAAATGAAGCTATTGGGTTTTACCAAGCTCTTCTAGGGAGTGGGGATCCTTATTGCATTGGAGGGGATCTTGATTAGTTGAAAGCTCTCTTTGACTTCCAACTATCTGAAGCAACTCGAGAAGCACTAATTCAGCTGATTACAGCAGAAGAATGCATATTAGTTCTTTTCAGTAGCCCAAGTAATAAGAGCCCTGGACCAGATGGGTATACTGTTGAGTTCTATAAAAGTGCTTGGAGCATTGTTGGAGACTTGGTTACAAGAGCAATACAAGAATTCTTTTCAACAGGGAAGCTCCTTAAAGAGGTGAATTCTACAATTATTTCTTTAGTGCCTAAGGTGTCCT